ATCAAACTTAAACCAACTTTCATATACTTTTGTGTCACAGTTGAGGCTACCACAGTTCTTCGGTGATTAGGCAAAGTGATGCAAATGCGCTATCCCTAGCGTATATTAAAACTGTAAACACAATCTGTATCTTGCTTAATTATGATCATTGACAAGTCCAGGCTTTTAATGGCTCTGCACTGGCGACAACCAGCAGCTCCAGGCATTTGGGATGTCTGTCCATCTGTCCCAATCTTGTGAACACGATACTTGACAAAACAACTTTAGGGAATTTCTTCAAATTTGGTACAAATACTCAATTGTACCCAAAGATAAACTGATTAGAGTTTTTTTGGTCGAAGGCGCTGTGACCTCACCAAAAAAAATGTTTTGGTTTTGTGAACACATCTCAGGAATCTTGATACATACGTTCATCTGGATAGACAGATGAACTGATTAGAAAATGGTGGTCGGAGGTCCAAGTTGACTTGATATATCAGTAACACCAACACAAACCCAGCCAGTGTGGAGATCTAGAGTTTAGATCTGTATTTTGTTCATTATTTTGATTCTCACTGTCCTACACAAATTTGGAAAGCCCAGTTTTCCATAACCAACACTACGTTGCCACAGCTTAACATTTACTGTTAACCTGGGCAGGAGTAAGAGTAAGACACACGATGTCGCCAGTAATTTTTGTTATAGCATGCAAATGGAAAAAAAAGCTCTGAGCTGCTATGATCCAGAGTCCCCCCCCCCCATCAGTGCCCTAACCAACCAGAAGAAGTCACTAATGCAGCATCAAGGACAACAACATTCACTGGCTTCCCACAAACAAAACCCACCAGGTGTGTTCATGTGAACAAACAACCAAGCTACTCATACCTCTCCCAGGATTAAATCACTCTTCTGTATAAGGCTTAAGCTAGAAACTGTAAAAGATAAAGTTCAGCAATTTACATTTACAGAGAAGATTATAAAAAAACAGCAGACAAATGCAGTGGAGAATTACTGTTACTGTATGACACTCTTTGCTAAAATCACATTAATTATTCACAGCAAAGAGTTACTCTCCTCAAACGTTTAGCTGAAACGAGTGAGACGTCACGTAATTACCGTCTGACCGCTGCCCTGAGTTTAGCTGAGCGTCCTCGAGGATTTTCATTCACATCATCCTTTTCTGGAGTGATCACTTTTCTCCGCAGAGGAAGCCAGTGAACACTTCCACCATCTCTTTTTTCATGCCCCAGTTTTTCCCTCCTGGTGCCTTGTTTCCTCGGGCTGAAGTGATACTGATCTAGATTAGACAAATCATCTCCCTGGAGGAAACGTTTGACCAGTCTGTCTTCTAGTGAGTGAAAGGTGATTATGCAGAAACGTCCTCCAGGTCTCAGGATTGCCTGGGCAGCACGCAGGCCTGCGTGTAGTTCGTTCAGCTCGTCGTTCACAAGGATTCGCAAAGCTTGGAAGGTTTTGGTGGCCACATGTGCAGGTCGGTGGAGTCGGTCTTTACGAGCATAGATGACAGCGGGAGGAAACGTTCCTAGAGACAAAAAAACGGTCAAAGACTGAGTGAATCTTGTAAAACATGGATGCAATCTGATGCTCAACATTTTCTATTACTGTTTATATATTTCCTTTAATTTGCATGATCATGCAGATTAACAAGTGCGTCACTAGCCTGTTAGCATTAGCATCCTAAGAGAAACTTACCAAACATTTGATTTAAATTGTAGAAAGAACATCACAAAAGTTCAGCTGTTGGATGACTGAAAAAATGTATGGTGTATGAAACGTCCCATTGCTTTTAATAGAATGGATGATTTCTCTGCATTTGAACATTGTTGGAAACAAAGGCCTAATTGTTATGAGACATTTAATGATGATTTGTTTCATATTATATCTTTGAGGTGATCTAAAACATTTGACCTGAAGTGTATCAGTGTATCAGCACTAATCTATACTATGACTCTTGTTACCTTACAGACTTATTTAACGTCTGGTGTGTGGTAAACACAAACGGATTCAAATAACTGTAAACTTCCCTGGTCAGGACAGTAATAATACATCCTGAATGAAAAACGATTATTTAGTTGCCTTTGACTTGTAGTTGTGCTTCTGGTGTGTCTGCGGTCTAAATCATTAATTGAAGAGATGGATTGACAAAGCAGGATGAAGCACAACAGAAGCAGTGTAGAGCGAGCTGCTGCAGGAAGGAGCGGCAGGCCCATCAGAGACAGTGAGGAGCCGATGCAGGGTGGACAGGGCGTGTCACTAAAATACTGAGGTAAATAGAGTCACATGTCTCTGGTGATCCGTCACTTCACTGAATTCAGAGTTCATTTTTAAATGTGTCCGAGCACAAAACAACTTCTCCCCTCACACTGGTTGCTGTTAAAAAAAGACAGAAAAAGGAAAACTAAAATATTGGTTTTTTTTTTAGTTATTGCTCTCTGGCTGGTGCACTCAGTCATGACCTGCGCTCTGTATAATGAAGTAAAACGAAGGGTGATTTATGTTTCTCTCCCTCACCACAACCTTCCTCTTTAACACTCCTGACCGATTGTGCATGGAGAATTTCTCATGCAAAACCTTTAATATCTCCTCCCATTATTTAGGAGATTCTCCTTCAGAATGCATGAGCAAGGAGAAAGGCAGATATGTAGAGAGTTTGAAAAAATTACATGCTGGGTACAGAATGCATCAGATGTGGACATAAGCGGTAAGGGCAAGAACACTGACTGAGAATCGATTAAAATTTGCTGTAAAGTTAGGAAAACATTATTTATATTAAAAAGCGCAGGGTCCAGCTTGACCAAGTCCTAACCACCACACAGAAGAACAATTAGACACTTGTATAGACCTAAAGAGAAACTGCAATAAATAGAGAAGTGAGTGATGTGGCATTTCTCTCCTCCTGCACTAAACAGCCCAAGGTGTGAGTCACACTGCAATCAATACGATGCCTGCACAGCACGGACCACCCCTGTTCTGGTCTCGCCAAGCCATGCGCTCTCTCTCTAATTCATCTTTCAAAGGTCCTACAGACAGATCCGTGGAGAAAAGAAGAGATTACGATGTGTACATAAAGAGGAAATCAAGAAGTTAAGAAGGAGAAGCGACTTTGTGAAGCAGTAACATATAGAATTAACATCACATAGCTCTTGTTCTCTACCCTTGTGTCACGAGAGGCTATTAGTACAACAACAGTGTTTCATGCTTCTGTGCTTTAGTGGCTGAACTGACGCTCTGACAGAGTTTGTTCACAACAACAAATAAATAAATGGAGCAGAGCAACATGGTCACAACTTTTTAAAGAAAGAAGTAAAGACCTGGACATGTTTAACAGGCTCATTTTATTGCCATTTTGCAACGACTTGAGTTTTTGTTAATGGATTTTTTAGTGGCAGTGACATCTGCTGCTGCTTTCAGACATACAATGAAGTCTGGACATTTTCCTGAAAGTATCTGTGAGGGCTTTATGTGAGAGTGCAAATGCCCGACTCAGTTCCGTCTAATATTCTCTGGAGTTTTTCCTGCCAGGCTCCAAGTAAATATCTGAGCCCATGAGAGAATACATCGAGATAATGTCTGCAGAATTCACTGCCAGCCAGTGATCGTGTTGATGACGTTACTAACACGCTACTGACGCAAAACTGAAAAAAAAGAAATAATATCTCAAGGAAACAGAGGTGCCTCACACGTAGAAGACGCCAACAAAGACGTCAGCTTGAAAAGACAATGACATTCAGGGCCTTTCAGTTTTGAGAACCGATGCCGGTGTTGATGTGCCACAAAAACATGTGATTTCCACAACATAAATGTATATGTCATGTCCTGCCTCCTGCGTGCTCTATCCAGACAATCTTCTTACAGGTTCTTAATATGCTAAATTTAAACTCCAGAAAATGTCAAGACTCAATTGCCAAGACCATTTCAAGAGTTCATGTCTTCAAACATATATTGTAATGTTAAACACATTCAAATGCCTCATCACACAAATCATGCAGAGGCAAGAAACACACAACAACTCAATGTAAACTCTGCATAGGTGAAATGACAGAAACATGCTCATTGCCCCTTTTCCTCTACTTGTAAAGAAATGCTGTGGTTCTGAAATAAGCCACACATGCATGAGAACATTACGCATGACGTTTTTATCAACCATCAGGCAGAAACATCTTGCTCATTATCATTAAACGTCACTAAAGTTTTCAGTGACTTACTAAGCTCATACTGAAACAAACCTGAAAAGAACAGAAGCACAGGGAAGTCACAAAGGTAATTAACTATGGTTAGGTTTATAAATATAATACACAACCACCCTAATCTTCCCTCCCATTACAACATGAACATCACACAGCCTTTCATGTTGACAATAAACCTTGGCACCGGACGCACATTTTGTCCTGCAGAATCAGCCAATATCAGCGAACCTCCTCGGGATACTAGGCCGGTTACAACATACTGGATAAACAGCTGAAGAGCAATGCTGCCTGACATACACAAATCCCAGCTGGAGACAGAATTTGACTATAGGAATTGTTGAAATTATACAGATACAGGATGGTTTGAAAATTCTATACAAAACACAATGACTCATATTTAGAAATGTGGCTGCTCAAAGACAGATCTGTAGAAAAATGTTTTACAACTCATTCAGTGTGCTGCAAAAGTTTCAGGCTACAAAATACAGTGAGGGTGGTTTGAAGAAAATGATGCTATAAATAGATTTTACTCATCAGTTATCTTCATGCAACGTTCAGTGAATGTGACGCACATTTGACTTTAAAACTGCACCGATTCTCCCCGCTACATTTGACTCTAACAACGTGTTTGAAAACACAATCAGTAAAATTGGCTTCAACTTCAATTAATGGTGTTTTATTTTTAAATCCTCCCTCACTTCACCTTTACATCTCCACATTGTTATCACCTTCACAGTCATGTCACCTGCCCCAGAGAAGAACCCTTGTGTGCCTGATTAGATTAAGTGTGAGCTGCATACACAATTAGTTCTGACCATTTCATGTGTGGGAAATGGCGTATCCATGGCCTTTTTTTTTTTTTAGACATTTATGTCATTTACTACATTCACTCACAGCTTTTGTAAAAGCCTTTTAATTTTAATTTAAATAATGAATCATATACACAGGTAACCCAGTGAACAGGACTTCATATATAAAAAATATTTCAGGTTGTGAAATTTCTAACATTAAAATACCCAAGTGTAAAAAATAATGAAATGAGGGGAGAATGAAAGTGTGACTAAATTAACTTTTTAATCTTAACAGAGGCGATGCAACAGGGTAGGCAAAAACAGGCAATTACCTGGGGCCCTGAGCTGAGAGGGGCCCCCGAGAACGGCTGATTACGATGTACATTTAAAAAAATTCTATGATCAGCTTTGTATAAAACATTGCAATGTGACAATGGATAGAAACCCTCTTATGAGGCCACATGCCAGTAATTTTCAGCCAAAAGCTTCAATACCTCATTTACACCAAAATTAGCAGCTATATGCAGGTCTTTTTAAACATGTGTAAACACGTTAAAATTGTCAATGAAGAAGACAAAGTAAATGATGAAGGAGAGGGCATATTGTAGAAAAAGCCAGATGTTAGTGGCTTATTTGACCAGAGGAGAATGTCTGAAATGTGTTCGATTTGGTTCGATTTAGGGAATCCCAGGTTTTTGCCTTGGGCCCCCAAAAGTCCCATGAAACGCTCCTGTGTCTTAATACCACTAAGTCCCTAAAGTGCAGTCGCCCATGTCTCTCATACATAAGTCCCCATCCCTTCTTCTGTGACTGTGCATTTTTTCTTGTCAGTATCACTATGACATGTAACAGAGCAACACCTGGAACCTTAAATCTGAAATCCAGACCTCTTGGATTGTTCCAAACAAACATCGGTGGTAACTCGCTTTGCTCTTCAAACTCCTGCTCTTATTCACACCTGTTCTCCCAGGGTGACACTGACGCGCACACTGCTCTGTGCAATAACTACTGAAATGACATCTCACTCGTTCAGCAGCTCAAATCTTGAGGCATACTGCCAAAAAAAAACAACCCAAAAAAACAATCAGTGAAGACAAACAATGTAATCCTGGCTTTATGCACAAATGTGTCGTGTGTGAGCATATGTGGGTGTTTGCATTTGTGTCAGGTGTGTCTGCATATTTGTGAGCGGAGAATTGAGGGGGAAAAAACGGGGGGGGCAGATGAGCTGTATGTGAGATACTGTTTGTTTTCAAGACATTAGCCACATTCTGTTCCAGCCACATCCAGCTCTGTCGTTGTCTCATCCTCATCTCTCAGAGGAAGATGTGCAAGACAGGCACCCGAAACAGAGTCAGGAAACAGAATGATGTCTGAGATCACAGTCTACATAATTTTTGGAGACAAATACATCCCTACAGGAGACAGCCTTAATAAATCCACTCATGTTTTATTTTCCCTTACAACCTCCACAATGCTGCAGGGAATTATTTAGGACAGTGTCTAGCTACCTGCCACCACACTGGCCAGCTGCTGTGTCCGGGTGATGGGGTTGACACGGCGTGCCTTCACGATGGCTGAAGCTATTTTCCTGGCGTGTCTTTCTTCCCCATATGCAGTGAGGATGGATGCAAGAGCCTGTTGATCTAAGGTATTCACAACGTCAGCAGCGCAGGGCATGTCGAGGTACCTACGCACAAAGAGAAGCCCAATTAAGCTGCTTGACGTCACGTCCTTGCTGACAGTGGCGAATCCTGACAACTCTGAGATACAGCCGAAAACCTTTATGTTTGACAGTTATGAACAGATCGAATGGGAGGGAATGAAAAGAGAAAAGCAGCTTGTGCAAATGCTTGTAATGGAGTTATCTTAAATGATTTCTTTGCACAAGCTGCTGACAGAGTCAAATAATCTGTATATATTTCTGAAAACCGGATTCATTAAATTACACACACACACACACTCACAGATATACACATAGGCTTAATACATATTAGAGGCAGACATGACGGTACACAGCATGTCCACAATAGGGTTTTAGATTTATATATCAGTTACAATGCTGCCATTGTTCATGTAATCATATGTACAATATAGCCTATATATTCTGAGAGCAGTGTATTACTGTATTTCAATAAGTCATATAATAAGGGAATTACCAGTCTGCCATGTAATGTTATGTGTATGTGTGTATATATATAAATATATATATATATATTTTTTTTTTAAATTTATTTATTATTATTTTAAAAGAAAATTGGAAATGGCACTAAAACTTTACTCTAGTCACATCAAAAGAAGATTAAAGATTAAAGTCGTCTGCTCTATGTTGTTGGTAGCCCAGTGTGATAACTCTCCCTTTTTATCAGCTGAACTTTGACATCACTGCTGCACTGGTGCAATTTGACTCTGACCACCCAGCCTCTCCAGACTTACCTTTCTCCATCCATTCTCATATCCAAGGGCCCATCTTTGCTGAGGGAGAAGCCTCTCTCTGCCTGGTCCATTTGCATGGAGGAGCAGCCAGCATCCAACAGGACAGCATCAATGCTGCCTGGCTGAACGTTCGCATTTGACAACAGGACCTCAAGCTCACTGAATCTGCCAAGCAATGGTTTCACACGACCACTAGAGAGAGGATTAGAGGGAAAGGCACAGCACAAATAAACATTTGTATATCAATGAGTTTGGCACAATGGCTGTGAAAATACTGGCCTCATATGAATGGATTTAGTCAATGGAAGTCTTAATTATTTTGCTGACATCCATTTTTAAAAAGTTAAAAACTGTAAAAATGTATTGTTATTCATTTCATTGTCAAAGTACCTTCAGAAAGCGAAGAGAATAAGGTTTGAAACTAGAAATAATAAGAGAATAAGGGAAAGATACTGAACTTTGGTTAAGTTCGTCATTCTTTTTGAATAAAATTAAATCTAGGAAATTAACAATAGAGGGTTGGGGATAAAAGACAAAAATAGAATTGCACAATAGAGGTTCAGAAAAATAGAAACATCAGGTTGAATGAGACATAAGAACAAAAATGAAAGGTTTGAACAACAGCAATTAATGACACTGAATATTTCATAAAAATGAGATTAAAATGGTTACAATAGTGAAAGAAAACATATAAAGTCTTCATCTTCGACTCTGAAGTTCTAAATATTCTGAAGAGGAGGAAGAATTTTTGTCCTAATATTGTTCCACACTTATTATATTCAGTGATGATGACTTGAGTTACTGTGTGCTGCTCTGGTTACAACACACGTTTTGCTGGATTATTCCTTGATAGAAATAATACAGAAGGGAGTTGTGTAGTTTGTAAATCAAAGCAGCTCCCCTTTCTCTAGACTGTGATAAAGCTTAACGTCAGTCAGTCCGGGGGGAGAGTTTCAGAATATTTTACAGTTAATTGTTAACTTGTTACTGTATTATGCATTATGTGATGGAAATAGATTTCATTACTGTATGAATCTAAAGGATTGATCATGATGTTACATATGATTCCTGAGATGTTATTACAAAACCTGGATAACAAAGAAAAGTAATTGAGTCTTACTATTAACAGTTTTAACATAAACATACAAGACATTGTTGGTTTATCAGTTTTAAGAGTTAAAATGAACAGTTACATGATGCACTCATGAATAGTTAATCACATGAACACTTGGGTTAGACTTGACGACCCTTGTTGCATTAGCAAGTCATTCTTCTCTGGTTCCCTGAGTAACACCTGTATCTTTTTTATAAAGATGAAAAATAAAACATTCATAATATTTTATAAATTATATAATACAACAATATGTAGGAGAAAACAATGGATATTTTTAACCAATCAGATAAACCTGACAAATGAACTGAAAGACATATACATTAGTTTATATTTTTTAAAATAACTATCATTGTTATTAATCTAATCCATATTATGTGACTATGTGCATTTCTTGTTTACTAACTGTTTATATGCATGATAGATTTGATCAGTTTGATTTTGCCATTTTCTGACATGTTTTAAATTAAGTTTGAGAGAAAAAATATATCCTACAATTCATAGCAAATTAATAGGAGCCAGCGAACATATTCACACCTGTAGGCGGCTCGGTACAATCACAGTCTGATCTCCACTAGAGCGGTCTGGGGGTTGGGTGCTGTGGTCAAGGGCACCTTAGTCTGTGCCACGAGACTTCGGTAATGAGGGCGGGGGAAGCTCTGCTCTTTCACGTTCTCTAATCTTTAGGTCACAGATGCTACTGAGTGGGAATGGTAAGTCGTCTGTGTTTTGGAAATGCTGAATACTTTCATATTTTATCTTATCAGCATTAAACACTGATGAGAAAAAACACTCAACGTCTGACAGTCAAAGTAATTTTTATCCTAATGTTCATGGACAAGATATTCAATTTAAAGGAAACCTCTGGGTAGGTTGAGCAGCTTATAGTAGCCTTTTTTTTTTTTTTAAATCATGGAAGCCAACCAGATCAACACATCTGACTAGCCTATTGCGATCGTTGCTTGCCTATGACAGAGGTACAGTATGTACTCAGTCACTTCCTCCTGCCGACAGTAGTGAGCTCCTCCAGCCACATTCATGAATATTTCATGTGACCTTTTAACATTGTGTGAACAAAGATGATGGCAGAAGACAGCAACAGGAGTTACAATCTATACATTAGGTGCAAAGGTTCCTCTGTAGCCTTCTACGCCCATGTGGTTCCAAAATATGAAAAAAGGTTTCCGGTCAAGTGATGAAGCCAAACATATCAGATTGGCATCTCTAAATGATAACCCACTGCAAAAACTAGGCAGCACAAGTTCTCTACAACCTCCTTATCCGGCTCTCTAAGTACAGTTAACCTGCATTTTTAATCCGTTTTAAAAGTTGAAGATATATGTTTTAAGGACTCAATGTTTGGGCTGGGCAATGTGGCCAAAACTTTTATAGAAATAGAAATTCTCAGTTAATAATTGTCACATTATTATTTCTGTTGAGTATAAAGCTCAATGTCAACTGGGATTGGCTCCAGCACTTCTCTGATGGTTGCCTAAATTTGAAAATTGTCTGTTTCATGTTTCTTTATTCCACCTTCCTCAAGCGTCACTGGGGGGAATTCAGGGAAACACAAATTGTCAGGTCCTCCATTTCAAAACCCACAGAAGACAAAATGGCAAGGGAGCCTCTCGCCCACACAGCCAGGGCCTTTCACTGCTTTGCTGTTGTTATCCACCATCATGTGCAGTGATTAATTTGTTGAAAAATCTATAGTAAAGGCTTTGTTGTTCTCTCCCATCACATGCACAACCCTTTTATATTACTGCGTCTTCAACAGCACTCTGCCCATTATTGCAAATTTCTAATTTTGTATTATTGCTCAAAGTTGCAATATAAACTTTTCGGGGAGAGTTAATTAATTTTATTATATAATTTTATAAATCGTAGCCATTCTAGATTCTAATTGGAGCCTAACGACTCTTTACAACAGATAGCATTGTAACCAACAGCTAATAATAATCCACCTACACTGAATGAGTGCCTCATCTGGTGGTGACTGAAGATGTCAGCAGAGGCAGAGACTGAAGACAGGGAGGAGAGAAGGGGCAGAGCTCTGCTAACTGGTGGACGGTGGCAGCTAATGAAACCATGAGCTCTTCAATGCTCAGGTAGAAACATTATATAAAACTAAAGCTGAGTCCCTCATGTTATTTTTCTTGGGGAACACAAATAATATGAGCTGGTCTATGAAGGGTAGTACCTTCTCTGTGAAAATGCAGACAGGCCACATCCACATGTGGTGCTGTCAGGGCCGGGCAGCATACTAACTGGTGTAAGAGGGTTGAGTGCTGGGCGTTAGATAAGAGTTTCGCTTCAGACTGAACAGAACCTCATAGCTTTGTCTGGAGGCAGTTATATGCATGGAGTTTATGTTAAGTATTTCTACTCTATATCATCAACCCTGCACAATTCATATGTATGAATGGGAAAAGGTGAACATTTGTAGACTGATTTAACACCTCAGTCTAACACAACCTTCTGCCTTTTTATCATAATAGTGTAAATAATGTTGTCTTTTATTTAATCATCCACCCTTTATCAATACTGCTTCACCTTAGGGTCGTGGGGGGAGCTGGAGCCAATCCCAACAGGGCAAGAGGCGTGGTACACCCTGGACAGGTCAGAAGACAGACTGGACAGTTGGAGTACCCAAACACGGGAAAACATGCAAACTCCGCAGCGAAAGACCCCAGCCAAACTGAGATTGGAACCAATAATCTTCTGAGGGAACAGTGCTCACCACCGCATCACCATGCTGCAATAACAATTCAAAGGGTATTCGTTTTTTTTACTGTACGGTAACACAAGTTTTTAACATTAATGAAAGTGCTATCATGGCTGCATTCCCATTATATTGTAATGTTTTTTCACAAATGACTTCTACTTTTTAATTACTTAGAAATAAGATTCTCAAGTCTGTGACCGCCCACACGCAGGTGATGGACGTACCTTCCTCTTCACACTGCAACGTCTCCTACAACGTGTTTTTTGTAAGCCACAGAAGTATTTAAAAATATGCAAAACAGTTACATAACATTTCTAAATTATTAACTTCTTTATGTGACTTAGACACAGAGTTGGAGATACAAATGCCTTATGTAAGGTCTTATATTATTAAAGAGGACAAGTTTCAGTGGTGTATGTGCTGAGGTCCAAGTGTGGGCTCATAATTGCTTAAGAGATCTGCACTATTTATAGTTGTAGCACCCCACAACACTGACATGATGCAAATTTCTGTTATTCTGGCATCTCACACAGAGACAGTCCAAAGACCTTCATATTGATTTACAGAATATGTGTAATATCTGTGATAATTTTACAAGAAGTCCAGGACAAGGTGGTCTGATGTCAAATGTTCAAGCTATTCAGTTGGATTACCATGAGACCTGATACTTGGACATTCATACTCCCCTCTATGGACTGTAAGAAGTTTGGTGATTCCTGGAGTTCTTGTAAATTGCCATCACCAGATCACAAAATAAATAAAGAACTTTACATGCATAGATTTATGACCCAATACCACACAAATGGTCATATAGACATTGATTTCCCCTATATAACCAATATACCTTAAGCTGCTTTCTGACATGCAGCGAAGTCAAGAGAGATGACCCAATCAGAGCCTGCAGACTTTCTGCAGACTTTATCCATCCAGCCCCCTTTGAAAAAGTCCACAGAATGTCTGCAGGAGCTGATGTGAGAAAAAAGCAGGACATCCTCCGCAGGATTCACCAAATCCCAATCCAATTTTTCGGACATCCTCCAGAGGTCATGTCTGAAAACGGCTATAGAGATGTCAGTTGTAAACTCGCTAAAACACACACACAGAGGGGGAGTGAATGTGTTTTTGTGTTCAAGCCCAGGTTCTTAAGGATCTTCAAAACTCACCACTCAGTTCTGTTATTTCCCTCCAGAGTCTAACTTTCTTCTCGTCTGAATGTTGATCCATTAAAAGCACAAGTTGTTTTCCGCGCTGAAACATTTTCGACTTGAAGGGACCTTTCTTTGTGTCAGGTGGCACTGCCTCATGCAAATTTGTGTCTAACTGTGTCTTTCCACTATACTTTGTATGCAGCCAAGACAACTCTGAACTCCTGTTGCATCCTGTCAGTCTTGTTTAAATCATGTTCGAGATATTGTAATGCTTTGTTCTATGGATTAGTGCATATCAGTAAACCATAAAAAAACAAAATCACAACACTTCTGTCATATTTTCCATAATCAATCTATCTTGCTCTTGTTTTGTATCAGTGACTAAAGGAAATACTGTGTGTTGTTCCACAGTACACAGAGGCTGCTTTCAGGCATGCACTGAAGCTCATACATTTTCCTGAAATTTTCCAGAGTTGCTGTACGTGAGAACGCAAATGTCCGTGTGAGTTGCTCTGGAAATTTTCTGTACTTTTTCTGCCAGCACCCAAGCAAAATGTCTATAAAATATTCAAACAATCCCATGTGAGATTACAGCAGGAAATGGCTGAAAAATACAAAACAATTCGAGAGGACGTGTTGATTACGAAACTGGAAGAATAAAAATATCTCAGGATGAAAAAGAGGTGCCGTACAGATTGAAGAGGCCAAAAACTGTGTTCATTTGGAATGATTTGAGATCTTTTTAATAAAAAAAATAAACTTTGCATTTCACAGCAGAATCTATAAGTTTTCCGATTCCTGCATGCTCTACCCAGAGGCCACCACTTCACTGAATGCTCCAGAGTTTTTCCTGTTGTTGTAAATGTGTCTGACTCATACAATCTCCTACTGCGATCTTCATATCTGAAAGGCAAATGTAATTTCTGAAAAAACTGAGATGAACGGAAACATATTAGCATGTTATCAATTGTTAGATACCCTGAAAAAGGAAGGACATCTGACAATTTGATGGTGCCAAAAAAAAATTCCACGTCTGAAAGAATTCCAGGTCACCTTGTTCAAAGATTATTAGACTATATTTTAATATGTTTTTGCATAAAACATTAAAGAAAATTCACATTTGCCGATAACACTACATTCTGCTACGCCTTTATATTTCCTCACACTAAATGTGCCCTGGCATGAACTTGTCTGTCTGGATTAAGAGTACACTCAGTGGGGACATCAAGAACCTCCACAGCAGCCTCAGTTTGAGTGCATGCTCATTCAACATGATGCTGCCTCTTCACATATCAAGCCTGAAATATTCCCTTGTGTTGACCTGCTCAGTTCCTTTACCTGCGTCACTGAAGCCTTAGACAAGATGCTGATTGATTGCTTTCAGCAGGGGAGCGGTGATGAAAATATCTACAGTCCCGTGAAGGAAAAAAAGAAAAAGAAAAAAACCCACTCAGTACAAACACACAGGTTGGTCTTTATAATGCATTTTGGTCAGGAGTTCAATTTGTTCTACCTCAGTTGATCTAAGGAAGTCTATTAAAAACGCTCCTTGTGACTTATTTATGAAGCAATAAAGCTAAAGGAAATTTGTGAATTTGTGACTAAATGACTGCTATCTCATTGGTAGCTTTACCCACATCTCCAAGAAAAGCCATCCCACTGGTCCTTCACTGCTATCATGTTCATTCAAAGGGCTGATTCAAAATCTTGTTTCTGAACAATTAGAAAATGTTGTGTGGCAGGTGAGGAACACTTCCAAATATGGAATAATATGTCAATGAAGCCTGATTGATTGACTGAGGTTATTAATCAGCTGGTTATGAGAGAAAATGGCAGTCTTGTGTGCTGTACAAGTTGGAAGTTGTAACAATATCTATCACACACATGCAAACGCATTATGCTGGTGTATTGTGTATTGTAATGTGAGCTGCAACTGTTGCGTAACTAAATCCTGTCTAAGGATGTTTCAGCATCCTATAATTATTTAACCATTAGTCTGCTATTCTAAGGCTCAATCCCATTTCACCCCTTTGCCCTACCCCTTGTTTTCGAGGGTTATTTTGCCCCATTAAAACTGAGTAACAAAGGGTAGTGGTCGAAATCCTCCCCTACGAATTGGGAGAGCACTCCAAGAAGCCGCTACGTCACCATTAGTCGTCGCGGGAACCTGACAAGTCATCAATAGTCGTCAATGTAAATAGACGGGACAAAAGGTTTTGCTGGGTATGTCATTGTAATAACATTGTTGAGATCTTAAATAAACCAATGCAATTGCTTGTAGTTACTAAAGTGACAAACCTATAATATCCAAAAAACATCTATGCTAATGCAGGTGAATCAAATTACCAGGTAAATGCTAAGGAAATGTTTTCCTATATATAATTGCAATAATGGTACAACACAATAACATTTGCCTTTTATCCAATGGAAAATGAAGCTTGGATGCTCGGCATCATTTCATGTATAAATCAAAAGCACACTGCTTTAGGCTACTAGCAGTGGTCTGTAGGCACCTCTGCCAGTAACCTCACTGCCCTACCCTTGTTAAATTAAGTGCATCATGTAGCTTCAAAGATGTGACATGGAGTTATGTCCAAATTCGAGATTATTGTGCATAAAGCAAAGCGCTATAATGTTAGCATGCTAGCTGTTGAGAACGGTAGCGATTTTTTAAGGTTGTTGTGATAAAAAAACGATCATAATACATTGAGCCCCAACACCTGCCCCTCACCCTCCATCCCGACACGAATCAGAACACACTACCCCTACACAAGAACGCACACAACAGAGGGGTAGAGAGAAGGGGTGACCTGGACCTCCTGGAAACATTAAGTTAAACCGCTTCTGATCACAAAAGTGTTCGTATCTACTGATAATTACTGGGACAGATCTCTTGCCACTGATTGATTAAGACAATAAAACAAAATAACCCCACCCTCAGGAAATGGGTGGATATTAATAAAAAATCTGGATGATAATAGTGAAACAATCTGAATTTAGTGGTAAAGTCATTCCTATGTTTGTATTCAACACTAGCTGTTCAGAGGTGTACATAGTTTGTCTTTTCACATATGAAGAACACAGCAGGTGACATGTCAGACATGTTCAAAACAACAGTAAAAAGTCAGGCGAGGGTTGGCAGGAGGCACGACCACCATCGATGTCAGGTATTATTACCCAAAGCTTGTTCAATTATTAAAAATTAAACCATTTTATTCAAAAATAATTACAGCCTTGGGATAAACAAACCATCATTAAATAAGCTCAGGGAAAAGGGAGAATAAAGGCACACAATATACAAAGGTAAATTATAACTCAGCTTTATGTGCCAAAGTTTTCAACTCTACTAAAACCAACAAACTGCACAGTGCATGTATATCATTTCTTATACTTTATCTGTCTCTGTGTGACCCCCATATGCACACATGTAAATCCAATGTTTGCCTGACTTGACTTTCCAATTATTCTTGGTTCCTTTTCATATTTATAACAGTTATTGTGGGCACAACTGCTGCTGTGCATCAAGAGCAGGGAAGTCATAGCAACAAAAAGAGTGGTGAAAAGCAGAGAATTGTGAGGCTAAACATGCAGGAGAAAAATCCCATTGAAGACATGGATGAATATCGTTTAGGAACAGAGGGTCACCTTCACCAGTGATTGCTTTTAAGTATAATGCACATTAAAACCGGGTTCAGATCCACACTAACACTCTACAGTTTGCATCAAGGTTATACTTTCCTCAAGACAAGGGGGTAGAGAAGAGAGAGAGAAAATCCTCTAACCCTGTTGTGTGGATGTACTGCGTGGGCTGACAGGGTCTTTTACTCAGGCTTCCAATAATATTGGTTAATTGCTGGATTTCTCTGGCTTCTCTCAACTTGCATCACGAGTAGGCGTGGAAGAGTTTACAGCAGGGGTATATTGCTGCTGACAGAATACAGTGTTCTCATTCTCTCTCTCTTAATTGTCATTCCCTGCTCACAGGCACATTTCGCTGGCAGATTCCCTTGAGAGAGGTTTCCCCAGAATCTACGTAAAAGGATTCCTTCCCACGCCATGGTCTTAGGAACATCTCATTTTCATCCTCCCGCGCCTTGCTCGTACACACGTACACACACTCACACAAACACACACACTCCCTCACACCCCGGCATTGTGTCCTCATGTCTCCCTGTTCTCTCTCTCTCAATTTTCTAACTTCTCTAGGCTTCTCTCTGCCCCCCCATATCTTATAGATCCTCCGTGGGAGGCAGCATCTCCCTCACACTGCAGGCGTGGGCCCTTACTCTGACAAATGACATGTCGAGCCCACCAGCTTTGCGTGGGGGGAGAAAAGCTTTAAGTTAAGAAGGAGGAATGGATTTGATTGGATGGTGAAACTCAGGGGCTGTATCTTACTGAGCACCATTTGATTGGGACCAGGTAAGAAGTGAGAAACACAGGGAGAGCTGCAGTACTATATCACACTGACAGTATGTTTTGAGAAATAATGACTACATTATAAACACTGCTCAAAATGGTCAAGCTGTCAACTGTGACAGTGAAAACGAATGGTTAAACATTAGCCCTGATATAGGATAAACATTTGTCTGGGCAGCTTGTAGCTTTAACTTGTGTTTTGGTCTGGCTGATATTTTTCATTAAATCACTTACGAGTGTTCCTTGGCTAACTGCTGGGCCAGAGAATTTGCTGTAGGATCTCGGTCTAAGGCCAGGACTGTGACTTCAGGAACCATGTTCAGAATTGCTTTGGTATGACCACCACCTCCAAATGTCATGTCCAGGACCACCTACATGCGAGAAAGCAAGAAAAAAAGCAACACGTTCTTCTCACAACAGGACTCCATATACATGATTCATCATCTTATCATCACAATGTGAGTTCTACATTTGAGTTTTCACAGTGGAGCACAGACAAGTGCAACTTGAGTCAGGTTTTTCTGAATTTGTCTTATCTTGGTGTACTAAATGTCAACATGACTTCATTGTGACTCCCCCCCATATATGTATATATGGAGGGAGAGAGAGGAAGTCAAATTTACATCAAGTACACCGAGGTGGTGCAGTGGTCAGCCTCACAGCAGAATGGTTCTGAGTTTGAATCGCAATTCATCTGTGTGGGGTTTGTGCGATTTGGGTTAGGTTAATTTGAAACTCTAAATTGAACTTAAGTGTGAATGTGAGAGTGAATGGTTGTTTGTCTCTGTATGTTGGCCCGCCGATACACTGGCGACCTGTCCAGGATGTGCCCTGCCTCTTGCCCAATGTCAGCTATCCTTAAGGATAGGTAGTATAGATAAGGAATGGATGTGTGTGTGTGTGTGTGTGTGTGTATACATATATAAAGGACAGATTTTAAGACTGATGTCTTTGTCCTGGAAAGATTTAAGTATCTTTTTTATTTCATCAAGTTTTTACTTTCCAATTTTCTGAGCAAAAACTAGGAATCTTGTAAAGGGACTGATCTGATAATAAAATAGATTTTCAGCTCACAATGCAATGTGAGGGCAGTGAGGTTCAAAATACTCTTCATTTTGTTATTTTGTTCTGCCCTTTGCATTTTAAAAGGCCACGGTAGATTAAAAATGTATCATTCATCTAAAAAAAACCCAATGATACAAGATAAACATGTCAGGGCCAGTATTTGGTTAATCATTATTTAAATTAGCTATGATGTCTTACAAGCAAATTTTGAAGTCCCACAGCAGTGTTTCTGTACGACCAACTAAACCGTTATTTATTCTCCCCTTCAGTAACCAAAAACACACTAAAACTAGACTGATGTTGTAAGTTTGATGACTTCAACCTTCACAAAACATTTTTGGTGAATCTAGTCTAATCAGATCTAACATTAACAGTGATGGAAATGACTGGGTGTAATGTGAATGGTGCTGCAACTCTTCAGGTCCCCTCAGCTCTGTGGAGCATTTTAACCGGCCAACCAGTCGAGGCGAATGACCGCCCACATTGAACCTAGTTCTGCTAGAGGTTTCTCCCTTTTAATGAGGGAGTTTTTTCTTTCCACAGTCGCCAAACTGCTGCTCATATTGGGAACTGTTGGGTTTCTCTATATAAATACGATTTTAGGTCTCGACCTTCTATGTCAAGTGCCTTGAGATAATGTATATTATGATTTGGCGCTATACAAATAAAATTGAACTTCTGCAGCTCATTGTTTTGGTTTTAATCTCAACAACTTTACCGAACCTTCAACACTTCTCACCACTTTGACTTGCAGCAGAAACGGCAGCTGTTTTTAATCATAGTTTCAACTAGGGAATTTTATACCATGGTGGGTGTTGCCTTGTTATGGTCAGGTTTTCATAAATACGGTTTTCCAACTTGTAAATAGCATTCACATCCACTTCCACTGTATTAAAATATGGATGCATGACAGCTCTGCAAAAGCGAGATTCATAAATCCTGCATCCTCCATGTTAATGTACAGGACATGGGCCAAACTAAAAAGTCACTTCAAATAAACTTTTCTCAAAGATGGTTTCTGTCATTTTTGGTAGCTCTTGTCACACTGACGTTCGTTTTAGTTCTTACTTTTCCAGTAAGTTTGGCTTTAATTATCTATTTGATGCTATACAAATTAAGTGAAAGATCATGAATCAAAGCTGAGAGTGAAATGCAATTGGTAGTGTTCATATCCAGGATATTCTGGCTTCATTTTTAGATAGAGGAAGGGGATAGGGTTGAACCTCCAGCAACAACAGATAACTCGCTACAATGTGATGTAAAGGCTGTGGTCATGAGTTGTTTTTCGTGTCACTAATTTGTCGCCAGAAATATAACAGTAAACCAGAAAACATTTATGATCATGAACACAGCATGTATCCTGCATGTCTGTGTCTCAGGCTCAGTCGGCGCCTCCTCTCTGAAGTTCACTTCACAGAAAATATATTCAGTAGAATTTTGAAAATCAAGACTTCTTGAGTTGTATTCTAACTTTCATATTTTTATTTGAATTTGACTAATTAACTGCTGATCAATATGTAGTATTAAGATAATTTTGCTTCAGATTTTTATCTGGACTAGCCTTTAGGTTTGTGTGCCACACAATACCTTCTTACAATCACACAAAAGGATGTTTATATGGTTGACCAGTGAAATATATGCTTGGGCAATGGATTTTTTCCATCAACAACAGGATGCCTCACATCTGCCAAAGATTATTGTTTAATATGATGGAATGAAATCTTTCAAGTCGTTACCATGGGAATCTTTCCCATCTCTGTTACTTACCTATATATCAACCTTTATCAGTTTAATCTATGAGAATACCTGATGAAATTAATGTTATATTATATCCAACTCAAAATAAAGATGGCAGAAGCTCTGCAAGCCATGTCCTTATGAGAAACTGTTGATAAATACAGCCTATATATGTTCACCAGCTAATGGGAACACTTGCTGATTTGAAACACTGCGGTACAGTGATGTTTTTTATTTCACATCCCCTCCTGTGATGGACTGAGGTGTTAGCCTCAAGTTTCCTTTTCCTATAAAAAATATTTTCTTTTGTCCTTATACTACCACATGCTGCTCTGATTAATTATGTGAGAGTGAATGTATAATGTGATATGACAGTATGCTACCTACCTTATGCTTATAGTGAGACATATTGGCTTTCAGGCTTTGTCCCATGTTCTCATGCTAACCCAAAAATATCACTTGGAACTAAATAAGGGACAAGTCATCAATAAAAACACAGATAAAAATAACTCCAACATGATATTGCTGTGATTTTGTCCAATTTGAGAATTGTTTTAAAAAATCATAAATAATTTCTGTTTTGAAATTGTTAACGTTCACAGAATTCTCAAAATGGACGATGATAGTTCTTTACTGTGTACTGAAAACAATCATTTCTTATTGAGGGTGAATATTACAAAAAAATGTTGCCCCAAAAATGTTTATCCAAATGCCATTGGATATCTCCTGAAGTAGCTTTTCATTTGCCCTAAAAGAGACGTATGAGGATCCAATCAATAAAGAACGCTGACATTAAAAATTATGTTTAAATCCAACATGCTTAAAAATATCTACTTGAGGATGTTATCAATTGTAAATACCAGTCTTTCAATCTTAACGTTTAACTGGGAAACACAGTTTATCGATCATATCATGAGGGGCAGGAAATGGGAAAATGTTTTAACAGGGAAATGTCGAAAACCTGCCAACCATTCTGCTGCATCTTATTCAGGTAGCTGTTCACTGAGCTGTATCCACAGCGTAAGACTTGCAAAGCAGAAAACATCTCCACATATATGCTCATACCTTTTACAATTGTTGATTAACACTGCTACACAACAAAATAAAATAAAGATCCCAGCCCTGTTCTGAGTGAACAGTCTGAGATTGCTTGAATAATTGACTGGATTATGCTTTACTTTTCTACATTTCTGTTCTGTGATATATTATAATGTCAGCAAATGGTGGGGACCAGATGTAAAATGACACAAAAGGAAATGCCAGCTATTCTCCACAAAAACATTAAACCTGTCGATCGATAGTGACGTTGAAGGTGGGGTGTGTGCGTGCATGTGTGAGGGAAGAAGTGATCAATGGCGGTTCCCTCTCCTTTCCAGCGCACAGCAGCAGATGGGGAGGGGGTGTGGGCTAGTGGGATGAGTCACACGCATAATGAACTTGCCTGTTGTGCTATTCAATACAAAAAAGGAAAAGGAAAACAGAAACACAAACAGCAAAGTAGGCTGGCTTTTATCGAAACAGTCAACACAAGCAACCAGGAGACAAACTGGTCCTCTACTGGAGTGTGTTGCACTTGTCACAACAATCTTTTGTCACATCCTGAGGAAGCTGTGGCCAAAAGAACAAAGGTTAAGCCTATTTATTTCAGACTGCCAGCCAATTCTCAGCAGTGTTAAAGGCGGTTAGTTGGAAATCTAAATACTGTTTATTTATTCACATTTGCTTCAGTGAGCATAGACACTATCCATCTTTGGGAAGTTTAATAGTATTAAACACATACACACCATGTATGTGTTTAATACTAAGCAAAAATGAAGAACTGCATGTCTACAAGGTCATAAGGTAAATTGAAAATCTAGTTCCTTGCCCTGAGGGAAAACAAGCTTCTTCAAAAGCCCTGAATGCTGCTGTGAAAATCTCCCATCTTGTTTTTAGCGAGCGAGCTACTTCTACCACCAGATGTGCAAAACAACTTCTTGAAAAGATTTTGTGATAATGGGCTTGGCATTTGCAATGATGATTGACACCAAACTTGGGAGTGAGTCATTCACATTGATATTTCATACAGCGGGGTGTCAGCGAGGCTCTCACCTAGACTGGGCCTGCCCAGAGAAAGCACCAGACTGGAATGAAGCCAGCACTCAACGTGGGTCCTCACAGTCTCTAAATGCAGAGTTGGTTCTTAAAATAAAAGTAATTACTGTAGTCCCGTGTTTTGTTACTCGGTTTAGGGTGTGTAATATCTGCCTTTCCCAGCAGAGGGAATAGGAGAGTTAGGAGTGGTCCAAGTGGTGCAGTCCAACAGTGAAGCTGCAAGGCGCTATAATGCAGGACACTTCAGGAGTCACCCAACAGCATTCTTAATGAGAACTTCTCTACCCAAAAGGAAAAAGGTAAAAAACACTGTATCTGACTTTATAAGTTACATTGAAAAATGAGGAAGAGCATCTACTGAGTTTTAAAAACACGTTTGATGGAAAAGTGTCATTTTGGCATTGAGATTTTACAAACATACAACTGTAAATAATATCCTGGCCATATGGAAAAAAGGGGCCTCAACTCAAGTCTT